TAGACATAAAATCTGCAGTGGATAAAAATTCTTTCTCCTAAAAACGTACAAGAAATAGACTATCCAACATAATTACTAATTTGCTTCAACAAAGCTTGAGATGTGAGTCCAGATACCTTATTAATTTAAATTTAGTCAATTAGAATATTCTTCTCTTCAATTAATTTGATTAATTAATAGTTACTATTCAATGCTATAGATTCCTGGAACTGAATTTACATAAATAGATACATTATTATAATATTACATAAGATAAATTATGTGAAAGAAATATGTTTTATACTTAACAAATATTCATTGATTAAATAATCAATGGTATATATTGGCATTCAAAATTAGTTGTTTTCTCCCTTCCCACTTTCCCTCTTGATACATTATATTTCACTTATCACTTAGTGAATTATCATTTTATTTTAAAAACATAGGATATAAATAAAATTTGAGCTTACAAATTTGAATCACCGTCACATGAGTAATATTAGCTGTATATTAGGTCACAGTTATTATGAAAGACCATTTATTCAACATAATTAAGCATTTAAGTGTATCTTAATTTATATTAGACGTTATATTTCCAGGAAGATTTTGACAAAGCAAACGACCTTAGCGGGACTAGAAAGTGGTGTTCGATTATAATATATAAACATGCACACATACATTTCAATTAGGGAAATATATTCAAATTTTGCTCTAGAAACTTGCTTGACACTAGTATATTTTAATTAATTATGTTGGTCAATTAAATACTTTGTAGACTAGTTGAATACATGTTTAGTATTCAACTGTTGGAGAAGAAGCTCCCTCATCTCCAAGGATGCTGTGGAATTGCTCAGTTGTAATCAGAACGGGTTTGTGAAGCTTTCTACTTGTCTAAGAAGCTACACAATCCACAGCTAGTGTGGAGTGAGGAGCCAGCAAAAAGTCCATGAGAGGAAGGAGACAGGCAAGCTGATAGAGCTGCAGGTTTCTAACCTTCTGAGTCAGATCGTAGCATTACTTTATGAATCCCCAGAACATCAGTCAAGTTTGTATTTAACTATAGCACAAAAACAGCTGGCAAAGCAACATAGATGTGGTCTGTAGATAAACGGATACCAAACATTCTTTAGAAGGTTCTGCATGCATTGCCCCATTCTCTCACCACCCATTGTTTTCTCCTTTCTTAAAGGCTGACTCCTCCTCCCCATTCTAACTGAACATGAGCTCAGGGCAAATGGCAGAAACACCCTAAGTGATCGTTTCCATGGCTCCTGGGGCTATTCCCACTCATGCATTTGGTGCATTTCAATGGAGTTCTTAGTCTTGGTTCATCTCTAGTCTCTCAGGCTATTCTGTGTTCTTCTTTAGCTCTTTTCATTCTTCCAAAAGATTGGATTTTTAAGAAATTTAGCAAATAGTGGACAAGACGGAAATTACCCTTCAGATGCTTGAAGCTGATGAAGGAGAAAGATATGGGTGTGACAGAGGAAGTGATGTGGTTTACTCTACTCTCTCTGCTCTAAAATTCAGAGAAATTGCAGTTTAATATAACACTTTCAGCACAGAATGACAGAATAGAAAAAAATCCCGGGTAATAGATTGTCTGCAGGAGATCTAGAAAACAATGTTCAGTCTGTGCTTCAGCCACCATGTGGAGCTGGATAATAGGGCATAGAAATCCTACTAACTCAAGATACATTATTATTATTTGATGAAGACTATACATAAATGATTGAACTTTGAGTAGTTGCCAATGGAAAATCTGAGAATTATCTGTGACTAGCAGGAAAGCCTTGATACAGGAAAGCACTTCCCAATGAATCATAATTGGTGTGTTGGTGGTAGGATCATCAGATGATGAAGAAGCAGATGATTAGGATGGGGTGATTTAGGAGGGCAAAGATTGAGGTACTAGCTAACGTTTTTGACAATTTCCTAAGAAGGAGGATTAGGATTAAATAATTATAGTTAGATCATATTATTTAAGGTTGTTGCACCTACTCAAAAACTATAGTCAGCGGAACATAGGGACACATTCTGAGAAAGGCACCATTAGGCAATTTCGTCGTTGTGCAAACATAGAGCGTACCTACACAAACATAGGTAGTATAGCCTACTACACTCCTAGGCTATATTAACTCATCTTACGGGACCACCATCATATATGCAGTCCATTGTTGACCAAAACATTGTTATGTGGCACGTGACTGTACAACAAGTATTTATGGGGGAAACTATCAAATGTCAGGAATTATTCTAATTGTTGAGGCTTTACAGTAAGCAAAACAGAAAATAATCTCTGCCCTGAATTTTCCCACATATTTTATTTCAGCTGATTATTTTCATGGTTTGATTAAAAGTGTGGGTGGGGGCTGGCCCTGTGGCTGAATCATTAAGTTCATGCACTCCGCTTCAGCAGCCACCAGATAGTATCCCAAGCAAGGACCTAGCATCACTTGTCAAGCCATGCTGAGGCGGCATCCCATATAGCACAACCAGAAGGCCCTACAACTAGAATATACAACTATGTACTGGGGGGCTTTGGGGAGAAGGAAAAAAAATCAGAGGAAGATTGCCAACAGATCTTAGCTCAGGGCCCATCTTTAAAAAAAAATAAAAGTGTGGGTAAAAACAAGTTAAAAAATTAATTTATTAGAAAAATGCATTGCAAAAATAGAAATATATTTCTAAGAAAAAAGAAAAAATTATTTTATGAATTAATTTGACAACTTTAGCTGAGAAATATCTAAGTTAGGACTAGATTCATAACTTGATCTGTGAAACACAGCTCTATGTATGCATGAAAATGTGGAAAATATGCTAGTCTCCTATAAATATTTTACTAAAAGTTATCTCACTGAAAAAAAAATAACTGAAAATTTCCCCAAGCAATGTGTAAGATGAATTTCGTGGAGAGCGAGTAACTGATTTTAATAAGTTGTGTTAGGGGTCGAGCTTCAAAGCAGACCACAGGACACAAGGCCATTGACAGAGGGTCAGACTTGGTGAACTCTTCAGCAGAGTGATGGCTGGGGCTAATGGTTGGATGAGGACAAATTGTCAGTGGGAACGTGACAGTTTAGTTCCCAACTGCACAAATTCTTCCGATGTATGTTTTTCAAAGTTTGAAATACTTAGACTGGCACTTTGATACTATTAATTCAAAATTAACTCAACAAATATTTATTGAGGAAAACTACATTATGTTTGTATCAGCTACTCAGTATTAAATTTAACAAAGGAGGAACATGTAACTTAAAGATATTATAACTCAGATTTTATTGATGATAACTTTCCTTCTAAGATTTCCTAATTAAGGCTGTTAATGTTAGAGTGCTTCAAGAATATTTCAGATGCAAAGTTCCTGATGCTCTGGGAGAACACGTTCCTAAAAATAGACTCATCAGAGAGTGAAGTATCTGAGTGTAGAGGTGTAGGTGTTTGCGTGCAGTTCTCCATCTGATGGCCTTGTGAGCCATGGCACACCTACTGAGTTTTGAAAACCAGATCATCTTTTATCCATCTTCATTTAAGAAATGTTCATTTGAAAAGTAAATGCCAATATTTTAAAAGTTGATTTTTCATATTTTTTGTTAATCAGTGTGGAGTAGATTAATTTTTAGTTGATTATTTTCATAGTAAGTTAGTATCAAACAACAGAAAGTTGTCTAAAGTCATTTGTCACATTTTCATACATCCACGATAGACATCGGATGTGATGCTGAAGATACTCAGATCAGTAAGAGGAGGATGCTGCTCCCAAGGTCAAGGAGTTGGCAAGCTCGTAGGAAAGAGAGATCTATAAATTAATAGTTACATAGATTAGAGAAGTATTGTTAGGGATAAGCCTACTTTATATTATTGCTATGTCAGTATAAATGGAAAAGAGAAATATATATTCCTGGAGGTAGCTAGGAATAGATGGTTAGATGATTTTTCCTGACTTTCCCCCAAGATGACCCTTGGAAGCCAGAATCCTGTTCTATTTGGTTTTGTAGCTGAATCTCCTAGAACGATGCCTGATGTGTAGTGAGTGCTCAGTCAACAAAAAGAGCAAAGGAAGGAAGGGTCACGATTAGGATTAATCCTTCATGGATGACAGTTTAATCAGTTGGTGTGATATGATGTCTTAGGAAAATGAACCATAGCTTCTTTCATATTAGTTCTTACTTGTGAATTAGTTTCTTCTGCTCTTTTCTCAAACCCAGTTTAAATTATTAATGTGAAGACTAGAGTTCAGGCTGACATTTGATTTCCAAAAGTTGTCTATTGATTTGAAAAAAGACTAACTCCTTTCTCAAAGAGGAGGTCAGCCGACATATTTTCATATCCCAAATTTACCCATATCTATTGGGTCATGTTATTTCTATGATTGGTTTGGTCTTTCAATTTTAAGGTATTTTCTTTTTCTTTTTAGAGTGACTGTTTCTATTTTCTTTCTTTAAATTGTCAACTATATTTTAAGTTCCTATTTGCATTGTGCCATAGAGAAATTGGTACGGTTTGTTGTAGAATAGAATCTAATGCCTGAAAGATCATCTGTTTCCGCATCCTCATTTAAGGAGGAAAGGAGGAAGCCGTGGGAGTTGGAATTACTTATTCAAGGTCAGATAGTGTAGGGCAGAGTTGAGATGTTAACTCTGGTCTCCTGAGTTCCACCACACTGTGCTTTTCACTTGCATCTGTGTGCAACCAAAGGTGCGTACAGACTCTTTTTGAGTCAGAATGGGACTGGAAATGGACTGACTTGATTTGACATTTTCCATGGTGCTATCATCAGTTAGGCCATTCTGTGAGTGGTAGTGCCTTGAGCAATACAATATAACGAAGAGTTCCAGTGCAGCGTTGCAGCTACCAGACAATGGTCCCAAAGGCTGGGCAAAATGCACTTGCCAGCTTGAGCCCATGAATCATTTCTTATCATGGTCAGTAAATAGCTAACTTGAAGTTCCATGTACGTATTATTTCTTCACCACATAGATGAAATGCTACAGAAAATAACATCATCTCTGTATTTCTAGCTAGAACATGTGGATCGAATCTGCGCGGGCCCAGTGGAGTCATCACCTCTCCTAATTATCCAGTCCAGTATGAAGACAACGCACACTGTGTGTGGGTCATTACCACAATGGATCCAGACAAGGTAAGGCTTTCCTCCCCACCTCCATAGAGCTAATACAGTCAATACTCTGACTCAGCCAACTATTTAAGATGAATAACCTGGTGAGTGTTATGTACCTTTGCATTTTGCTGTTTAAATTGAAAAGCTCATGCTGCATTACATGTCTATAAATTCCCATAAAATTGGAAAGCTAGTCTCAGATTCAATTATAAAGTGGCAGTTCTCAGTGTGGTCGCCTCCTACTGGTTGTAGAAGATGTGTTCATGTTCTTGTCCATGTCCAAGTTATGTCCAGCTCTACCACTTAGAAACTTTATGGATGTGGACAGGTGGATTGTCTTTCCTGAGCCTCAGATTCCTCATCTGTAAAAGATATAATCCTGCACTGACTTTTGAGGGTGGTTGTGAAGACTACATAAATACATGTGTGCCTAAGTAAGTGCAATATCATTTTCTACTATGAGCTATTGGCATGAGCAGTGGTAATGTAAACAAGCAGAAGATAAATAGAATAAAACATTAATAATTTAATAACTATTTACAAGCCATCTCATTAATTTGTCTGTCAAAAAAGAAAGGTTTGCTGTAAATCTGCATTAAAAATACAGAGCATGTTGCTAGTTTAGAGAGAATTCCTTTTATTACTTTCTGCATTTACACATGTTTAAAAAATTAGTATGCTCTGTTTCTTTGGTTTCTAGCAAGTTGAATCATAAGACATTGAAACTTAGATAAGTGCTGAAGTTTAGATAGTGGAACTTTAGGGAGGAATACTAAAAAAAATGGGTTTGTTTGTTTGGGGATATAGAGGTGTTGAATTGAATTAATGGTAAAGGAATTATATCCATTTCATGGGTGTCCAAATAAAAACAGGTGTTTTATATTATAGGGCTAGAGATGTCATTGGAGCAGAAAGTATCTGATTGGGGAAACCGAAAAATCCTGAATTATGTTACTTTTGCAATTTGGGAGGCAGAGGAAACTTTTTCCTTGGATGCTTATTTTTTTTAAAGAAAATATATCTAGAAAGAATTAATTCAACTAAATCAGTGGAATGGGTCAGTTAATTTATATATGTTCTGATTTGGGGGAAACCCCGGATAAGACAAACACGAAATCTGGCACTAACGAGACCTCTTCATATGGACCTTTCATGTTGAGAAGAAGAAACTGCACGATGATAGCTGTTTAGGAGGAGGCGTGGGAGGCAGAGTGTGGAATCTACCACGAGATCCCAAGTGAGAGTTGGCACGGTCTGAAACAGAGCAGGCACAGAGGGCGTGCTGAAGGAGCAGTGAGTCCCAGAGGTGTCTTAGCTGTCGTCGGCAAGAGGTGGTGATGGGTGGAATACCAGGAGTGAGGGGGAAGGAAGAGGTGGCAGGTGCTTGTGGTTCTCTTGGCTAACGTGATGCCCACGTGATGGCCTTGCACTGCAGGGGCTGTGAGTGAAGGACAAAGAGAGGAAGCAGCAATGGCATGGAGGGTGGGTGGTGAAGCCCTTACTAGAATGAGCGTATGTTCCAGCCTCCCCTGGGGAGTCCTGCTTACATCTGCTCTCCTTGCACAATTATTAATAACGTCCTTCTTTTATTCTGCAAATTGTTCCAGTTTGGAACAATAGATTCCAGGTTCTCCCTACCTTGAGCCAGGGAAAGGACCTCAGAAACCAGTTTTGTGTAGGAAAGGATCATGAGTTTGGTTTTAGGTATAATGAGAGTGAGGCACCTGCTGTGTATCCCAGTGGATGTACCTGGTAGAGGTAGTTTGGAATTCACAAGGATGTTGTTCGCTGCTGAAACCTGGGAGGTGCATGGCGGCATGCAGAGAAGCCAAATAGAGTCAGAGAGACTCGTGCTGATGGCATTCTGTTCCTCTTAGGGTCAGTTGAAAAGTGGGCTGGGCCTCCCTTTAATGAATGATAGGGATCTTTGCAACCATAAATGCCATGTAAAGGGTTTGAAAGTAGTAAACTCTTTTGTATGGATGAAGTGGAAGACCCATGGTGTTCCAACAGGGAAAGCAGTGGCTCCAAGTAAATCTTCTAGGAATTTGATTAAAGCCCTTCCAATATTTTCAAAATTCATTTAAATCCAGATTACATATGGATAATCATAAATATTTTCCTATGTGAAAGATATACCTGTATATCTGAGTTTATCTTTCTTTCCTGCACATATTAGAATAATTGAAATCTCTGTGTAAATAAAGGTAGCTTAAGGTTCCTATTGTCTAAGCCCTTTACCTCACAGAGAGGAAGCTGAGATCCAGAGAAGGTGCACTTCTCTAACATTGCACAGCCTTTTTTCTCCTACTGCAGGATAAAAGCATGTTTTATTTTCATTGCACTGTGATAGCACTTCATTAGCTTTCCTCCTCCTAGAAGAAGAGATATTTCTTTTTGTACCTATCTATTCCATTATCACTTTGATGAGTACCAGAGGGAATGAAATAATACGTTATTCAGTGTGTCAACAGGATGTTTTTGGCTGTGGGTAACAGAAGAGCTGATTAAAAGCCAGAAGGTTTTAGGGAAATATGGTTCACGTAACAAAAGGGCAGAGGCAGGGAGATTCCAGGCTTAACTCAGGAGCCCAGGTGTTTACAATGTTTTCTGCTCCGCCATCCAGAGCAGTGACGATGTCCCCCCTCAGGTCATAAGATGCTAAGACATAGTCAGTTCAGTGAGGAAAGGAGACGTGTCTTTCTTAGAAAGGGGAGAAATTTTCTAGAATGTCCCTAGCAGACTTCTCTTCAGGTGCAATTGAATCAAAAGCTGGTGGTCAAGCTCTGAGGAAGCCTAAGGAAAGAACCATCTGGAAGCCAGAAGAAAGGGCTGATGAATCTGGGTACATGCAGACAAGTAAACTATCGAGAAGGAGATTTCGGTTATCATCAGATTCATCTTTTGCTTATAATCTTTCAAATCCCATTGTTTTGCTGTTTTACCAGACACCAGTGGGCTGAAATTGGTTAAAACTCATAAAGTGTGTTCTTTGCCATTTTGAAGTTGAGTTTTAAACTTGGCCAAACTGCAGAGTGGCAAATAAAATAATGAATTTATGCAGTCTGGGTTTGTACATTTCTCTCATCTTACAAGTTTCAGTTTTCTCTCTCATCTTTGTGTATATTTACATAGATTTTTGTAAAGATTTTGTATAAATTTTGTTGATTCTTAACACTCAACAATTAACAAGTTAAGTTGCATGAGGCTTGTGTTATACTGCTTCAGAAAATTCTTGGCCTTTCTTCATTTATTCTGATGAAATGTTCATAGAAGAAATGAGGCATTCCAGGTTGATACACTCACACACACCGATACTCTTGCTGGAGCGCCACTTAGACACCTGAAGGCATCTCAATTAAGCAGAATTACCATCCAAATTAAGCAGCAGTCATTGCCATTAAGTATAATTAGGCTTAATTTGATTCCTTGGGAGACATTCCAAATAAGGGGGTTTCCCGGTGAAGCGCGTGGTGATGAGGGTACATTGCATATTGAGCAGAAGAGGAAAGAAGAATTATATAAAGGGGTCCAGACAGTGACTCCTTCTGGAAGCATGGACAGAGAGTTCCAGATACGAAGGGTCAGTACTCCTCAATTTGTATGTTTGGTGTGCTTTGTAAACTTTAGAGAAGTAAGATGGAATAGCAAACTAAAATCAATTTCCAAAGTCAATTAGAGATTAGTTAATAAACTCCTCTTTTGTTGAAAGATAACCGCTCATGATGATTTATGCTCTTTCCTGGTCTTATTTATGCTTTGACTATTCTATAACCAAGTGATGTGTGTCGGTTTATGCCAACTGTTAACATAATATTACTCCTTGACAATAATTACTAGGAAGCTCAGAGTGTCTCTTAGTAATGCATATTACAACTTAAAATATTGTAGAATGTCAAGTTAAAGGGAATACTAGATGTTGATTTATATATTAATTAGCACACATTATACTAATATATATTATTATCATAATATGTATTATATATAATATGGAGGTTATATTAGGAGAACCTGCTGAGTAGGCAGAAAGAGTGAAAAAAAATGACAGGTCCTCAAGAAGATTCAATTTAGTGTAGATGCCTGTTTCTAAACTCTCAAGTTATAATTGGTCTTACATGCCAGTTAGTACAGAGTCAATAAAAATTAATACAGTAATAAGATACTTATTAATATATTTCATTGTAAACACATTCAGCAGCTCATCTTTTCTCAGATAAAACTCTGAGGAGTCCTGTGATCAAATTCCTAAGAAAGTAATATTATGGTTGGTAGGCTACAGATTATGCGAATTATAGGCAAAGGCTCACAAAAGTTCATCCCTGGGGTTTTCACTGAAAACTAATATTAAACATATCATGGAAGACAGCTTTCCCTAGAATCTTTTTATATGTGGATATATAGGTATACGTGTGTGTGTATATATACATATATATTTTTTTCAAATACTTTCTGTGATGACATAATTTCAGTATCTAATTTTAATCTGAGCTCCTCAGAGGATATTTTCTTTGGTGTTAAACCGAGGATTTAAATGATTTAAAGCATTTGAACTCTGTCTTAGTTCATCCAGGTTGCTATAACAAAATAGCACAAACTGGGTGGTTTATAAACAACAAAAATTTATTGCCCACAGTTCTGGAGACTGGAGGTGTGACATCAGTGTGCCAGCATGGTTGGTTCTGGCAAGGACCCTCTTCCTGGTTGCAGACCACCGACTTCTCACTGTGTCCTCACCTGGCAGAAGGGGCAAGGGAGCCGTCCAGGGCCCTTTTTATAAGGGCACAATCCCATTTAAGAGGGCTCAGCCCTTGTAACCTAACTACTTCCCGAAGGCCTCACTTCCCAAGACCGCCACATTGGTCATTGAATTTTCAATATATGAATTTGAGGGGACACAACCATTCAGACTATAGCAAACTTTTAAGTAAATAAATGCTCAAAAATTCATAAAATTGTTTTGGTAGGCAAGCGAGTATCATCAACTAGATAACCCTCATAAACATCTTCATATGGGTTTTAAA